GCCATGGAGCAGGCGTTCAAGACCAACCCGGTCCTCGCCCGCCCGCTGCCGAATATCGCCAAGCTGCGCAAGCCGGTGCCGGCGCTGAAGTCGATCGTCACCCACCCGCCGAAGCTCAACGCCAAGGTGGCGCGCGGTCCGGCGCCGGGCGCGCTTTAAGCGAAAAAGAGGTCGCCAACGTCCGGCAGCCCTCACCGGTTGCCGGACGATCATCTTTACAAAACTTCAACTTTTCGCCCGGGCGATGCCACTTCGGGCGACGTACCTCGTTCTAGAGGGAGTGTTCCCGTCGCAAGACAGGGTTCGACCCCAAACGGAGGTAGCGATGAACAAGCTGAAGTTCGTGATGGCGGCGGGCCTTCTGGCCGCGACGGCCGCCTGTACCCAGACCGGGTACGACAACTCGTATGCCTACAACAATGGCTACAACACGCGGCCTGTCTACAGCAACGGCTACTACGCCCAGAACAACAACTACAACAACGGATATTACAACAGCCGTCCTGCGTACAATAACGGCGGCTACTACAACAACAACGCGCGCTATGCCTCTCAGGGACGGCGCGGCCCGAACGGCGACTACGATGGCGACGGCGTTCCCAACCGTCGCGACATCGACGCCAACGGCGACCAGATCCCGGACGCCTTCCAGGGTCGTCGGTAATCACACCGCTCCAGCGTAATCGACCGGCTCCCGATTTCCTTCGGGAGCCGGTTTCGATTCGGGCCGCCACATCAAGTTGATTCTGAAACGCCACTGACAACTCAAGTTTGTGCCCAAACGCCGCCATCGTCATTGGCAATTCTTTCCTTGCGGGGCGGCCGGTTCGCGGAAGCAGCGCTCCCGGTTGGAGGAAGGAATGCTCGTCATCAGTTTGCTCGCCACTGTAGGCCTTGCGATGGGGGTGCCAGGGGGTGCCGGACAGTCGGGTAGCGGTGCAAATCACGATCCCCGGCTTGCCCAGGTCGATGTCACCGACCGCACTCGGGACAGGAACGGCGACGGTATCCAGGACCGTTACCAGCAACCGAACCAGCCGGAATCACCCCGCAGCCTCCTGAACCCGTCCAGCCCCCAGGATCCGCCGCGCAGCCTTCTCAATCCGTCTCTTAACCCGCAGGATCCGCCGCGCAGCC